GAGAGAGAGAGAGAATGTGTATGCTGTATGTGTATGTGCGTATGAGAGACAAAAAGAGAGGGAAGATGCGCTCGCAGCATGGCGAGACTCTCGGGCGCCTGCGTGGCCGGGTGACGTCATAGGCGAACCGGGCAGCTCGTCGTCCACCAGACATTCAGTCTCGCCTCGGCGTTCGAGGAGGTTGTACGCGCAGTTTCTCTCGCAGTCTCTCATTCTCTCCTTCGCTATCGAGCAGCCTTCATCGTCCGCGCGATCGATCCCGGAATTGATCCTGATCTCCAAGGCATCCGTCAGCGGGCGGATTTAAAGGCGTGTGAGAAGAGTGCCCGCACGCGCGGTCGCCTGGATAAAATCGGTCATTCACCCGGTATACGCGACTACGAATATTCTTACGCAAGATTCGATCGGAGAGATCGGAGAGGAGTCTAGCGCGCGCGCGCGCGCGCGCGCTCCGAGAAAAGTTTCTCTCTAACGAGGATCGTTAGCGCGGATCGTTTTCCTCGCCGGGAAAGTCGACCTGGAAGGCGGGACTGTCACGGTATCGCGTGCGCGACTCACCATCGCGAGTGTGACACGTGCGACCCGACCCCGCGGGTGGATCGAACAGGCCGCGGTTGCATCTCGCGGGGAGATGCGCGCGGCGTGAAGTAGGACCTCGCGCGTCAAGTTGGACGGTCTCCTCCCACGGGATCCCACCCGCGGTGGATGGTCCCGGATGTGACGTCGTCGTCGCCACCGCCGTCACCGTCGTCACCGCTGCCACCGCCGCCACCGCCGCTACCGTCGCCATCGCTGTCGTCATCGTCGTCATCGTCGTCATTGTCGCGATTGATTGATCTTTGCTATGCGCCCCGAGCCGTGACTACTATGAGAGGATGAGTTGCTCGGTGAAGATTTCTTGCGGCAAGAGCTGGGCCGGCTCGCAGCGCAGGATCGGTTCCCTCGCGGAGGAGGCGAGCGCGTGCCCCGCGTCCGCGGTCAACTGCGCCGGCCTCCAGACCGTTCAGCCGAGCGCGACGTTGAACGCGACGTCGACCTCGAGCTCGACAAGCACGACGATCAGCCCTACGACCGCCACCGTCACCGTAGCCTTCACCAACCCCATCGTTATCACCACCGGCACGAGCACCATCACCGCCGCTACCGCCGCCGCCACCACCAGCATCAACGTCATCGCGACCGGCAACCAAAGGGTGGTCCCACCACGCCCCGTCAAGTCCATCGCCGCGAAGAAGGGGGAGGACACCACGAAGCTGCTCAAGTATATCGACGACAACGTCATCGGCAAGAATGGCACGTTCTTTGGGCCATTCGGCCGCAGGAAAGGTCAGTGATCAATATAGTAGACTTTATCATCCCTTCGTCATCCCTTCTCGCGTACCTCTGCGTCCGCTCGTGCCACCCCGCCTCTCCGCCCCAACCCTCTGCGCGCATGGCGGACGCGCCAAGAGGCGAGTTGCGCGATTCACTCGCGAGTTACGATTACTTGGGATATAAGTTAAGTGACACGTGTGTCACTTTCCACTTCTTATCGCTATCTCGTCGCTCGACGAGGGAAGGAAGTCATTATCTTTCTAGCGAATCGTCGGGACGATTAGCATCCCGATGAAATTGTACACGCTCGTTTCAAGATTTCAAGACCGTGGATCATTTCTTGGAGGTTTATTCAGAATGAAATTACGTAGGAAATTAACCTGTCTAAATTTAAATTATTTAAATTATTTATTATATATATATATAAGCGCGTTCGTTTGTTGCAAAATTAAATGTAATTATTCAGAAAAGCGAAAAGCGTCTAAAATTAGATATGATTATATTTAATTATTTGCCACTTTTACAAGCAATTTCCTTATTGCTTTTGAAATGAGATCATTTTCTGTTTCTCTCTCTCTCTCTCTTTCACTGAGATTACTTTTAATCGAATAACATTAGTTTTTTAATGACTCGATCATTCTTCTACAATCTCTCATAATTATTTGCAAAAAAATAATGCGGTAAATCACTTTGGGAATTCATGTTTTTAAAACTCTTCTCTCGGAAGAAAAACATAATATAATTATCATAAAACGCTCGTAAAAGTTTGTTTACAAAATGAAGGTGCGATTATCTGCTGTTACTCCGAAAATCAATGAAATAGCCGTGAGTCATCAATATCGTAATAACGGCATCGCCGTGCCGTGCAAAGTTTAATCGTATTCGGACTGATGTAACTTTCTGATTATCTCTGCCGTGCGAGTCGACCGAGTTAAGTGCGAAGTTGACGGTGACGAAAAATTCGCTTCTCGAGTTATGCCGTGGCGTAAGCTCGCGCCCGCTCGATTGGGACACCCTCCAAGTGCCGTTGGCATATACCATACGTAATTCGATACTATCCCTCGCGAACGGTAGCGCCGAAACCCTTGCCGTGTGTGTTCCACAGTATCCTCAATTAGCAAGAATAAAGCCGTATATTTTTAGTCTCCGAGCGATCGATTGCAGGAGATTTCCTTGTTTACTCGCGCGCAATCAAATCGATAACCGATCGATCACCGTCTATCGAAATTTCCCCAGTGCCGTTCCGCCGCTCGTTATCTCGCTACCCACCCTTTAAATCAAGCGCGTATATATAGTATATATGGCTATGTCTCTAATTAACTTAAGACAACTCTTGACCGGAGCGTCGAGGATGTTCCGTGTAATTGGGACACACGGCTCCCGTGTGTAATCACCCCCTCCCTTCCTATCCTTTTTATGACAAAAATAGTAAGTTTGTTGAAAACAAGTTTATTACAAGATAACGTCATAAAAAGACAAATTTGTTGGATTCAAATACAGGAATGAAAGAAAATATCAATAAAAATCGACGATATTTTTTCTCTAACTTGATAGTATGTTTAAACATTTTTTTAATTTAAAATAATAATCTCAGAATCTAAAAATGTTTTCTCGGTCCTTCTACTTTTACGATTGAAAGTATCGACTTTAGGAAAGAACGTGTCAGAGTGGAAACATTTTCTTCCCAGCTCAGCTGATATCTTCGATATGCCTATTCATAGTGAAGCACTCTCTGTGCTTCTCGCAAGTTTAGATCGCGTTATTGCACAATATACCAATACGCTCCTTTCACTTTTGCATCCAAACAAAACGTAACGAGCGTAACACCGCGAATTGAACGAGTCGGTGATTTTTCCTTAATAATTCGCTCGGTTTGCCGAATACCTTCCTTCTCGTGTCGTCGGTGTAAATACACGTAGCTGTCGCTAAAGTTATTCGGCGGTTTCCATCGTGCGGCTGACCATCGGGGTGTCACTGGCCGAGTACTCACCTCAAAGGTCACGTGCTACCTTGGAAACTCCATTCGTCGCCGCGATCAATAAGGCTCGCGTGAAAAGCAATCGTGAGGGACCTTGAACGTGCGAAAGAGAGAGAAAGAGGAGAGAGACGAGGAGGAGGAGGAGGAAGAGGAAGAGGAGGACCTCCCTGTCGGAAGAATCGCCGGTGATTTTAGCGTCGCGATGGACGACGGCGGACTATTTGGAGTACGAATCGCGGTTTATTTGCGCGAAGTCGGTTTCCTCGGGTGTACTCATAAATATCGAGCTGACGTCATGCTTGGCGCGATGGCGACCTTAACTCTCTTTCTCGCGCGCGCGCTGGATAGCTCTCTAACGGAATCGCGTGGCGGCCGAGTGTCGCAAAATGAAATATCTTACGTCGACAGTGACGATCGACTTATTTGCTTAACCAAGTGAAAGTCCGACAGTCTTAAAATGCGGATCGACTCGCGAAGGGGACTGGTAGTTTCTATCGAATTTATGAGTTTCTACTTCTATTTATGGACCTCGAGACGAATATTCCGTCCTTCTCTCTCGATCGAGCGCCCGTCTCGGGGAAACATCCACGTCCGATTATGTTGCAGAGTCCCGAGTCCCGAGAGAGAAAGAGAGAGAGAGGGAGATTCGCTCGTAAAATCTCGGGTACCGGTCCGTACGCACGCCGTGCTGCACACGAAACGATCTCGTGATATTCTACGCAGTTCGTGACCTCCGTCTCTTAGTGACTCGTGTCGCTCATATAAATTGCTAAAACTATCCCGCGCTTACGCTGTTCCATCGAACGAATAGACACGGTATCGCGCGCGTTGCCCGACGTCATCATGCTCGCTAATTCGATTTGCTCTTCGATGGCACATGGCTTTTTGCTCGAGCGTCAAAGCCGCTTAATGGGTTGCTCGCGTAAGCGTGAGGGAGCGCAACAGCGTTTCCACGTAGACGGCAAACACCGAGGGGCATATTGCATACTGCCACAACGCGATCTAAACTCACGAGAGGCACAAAGAGTGCCCCGTCGTGATTCAACATCTTGGAAAACGTCGAGTTCGAAAGAAGACGACTTCCGACGACGATCGCTGATTCCTCTTTGGAACATTCCTTTTTCAACCTCGATACTTTTTCTGGATCTTTTTCTGAAAAAAAAAATAGTTTTGCTGAGATAAAAATTTGGCCAGGTATAGATCTGAAAACAATTTTATTGGGCCATTAGAGTAATTAGAACGTTCACGTTTTCAATTGTTGTTAAATATTTTATGTTAAATATTAAATGTAAAATATTTTTCCAGTATTATCATTTTAAGCGTCCTACATAATAATTTTTGATGGTTTAACAAAATTATTTTCAAGAGTATTTGATTAAATTTTTTTAGAAACAAAATCGTTCTTTCCGTGAATTAATTTGTAACTTGTAGCAATACACACGTTATTTATGTAATGTGTCTTTCGCGTGAGCTTTACGTAAAAAAATACGTAATTACGTAAATATCTTGCGATTAAAAGTTGAAGACTATTATCAATGAGACAAGCGGCATAACAAATGCAAAAACGTGATTGTATCGCTTAATTGTATGATAATTGGCGGCAGCCACATCTTTAAAACTTTGCACGTCACAGGTAAAGTACTGATAAATATTGTTCTCCAAAATGTGACGAACGTTGGGAAGATGGCCTTCATCGCAAAACAGGTTCGCCGTCGCATGATTCACGATGACGCTTGGTGGGAAATGACGGAAATTTGCATGAAATTTGTAAATTGGGCCGTCTTATTTAAAATGGAAATTCAGAATTCCGCATTAAATACAAGCCTCAAAGTTGCAATCAAGTCATATTTCAAGTTTTAATAATCATTATGAGAAATGGAAATAGAAAGAAAGACAAGATCTTCTTTGCTCCTTTTTACGTATTTCTTTTTATTACAAATCACATTTATAATTAACAAATGCCAACGGGGAAAAAAACGTAAAGATATTCGATGCGTCAATTTAGAAAATATCTTGATTTATTAATCGTGATTTTAGAAAGAGATTTCGGTGCAACAAAAAGCGATGCGTTGACAGCGAACGAGTTTCTCGAGAGTGTCAGATGTTCGTGATGGACGATCCGTTGTCTTCCTATAGGTTGATGTTGGTCTGACATGTCTCGAGGTCGATGGGAGATGCGATCCTGTTAGGCCACTATTTCACGCGCGGGTCCATGGTCACGTGACGTCCCGGAGAAATAAGGATGACTACGTCATCAACAAAGAATGACTCGTTCATCTCATCTCTCCTCCAGCATTCTCGTCTGGCAAACAGGCCGAGTCAATATTTTATCGGAATTAAGAAATTGGAGTATTGTCAAGAAAACCTATTTGGTTAGTTAAATATTTGTCAACTCTTTGTGGTTTCTTTCGACATTGTCTCGAAATACCGATGTTGCCACAACTCTACAAATATTTGAAAAAAAAAAAAAAAAATAAGCGAATTATGAGCTTGTGTATTTTCGGAATCTTCATCCGAGTAGCTAAAATATAATTTAAGTATTCAAGTTATCCAAAGAGAGAATTCGATGGGGGAGAAATTATTAAGCGTTTTTATCATCTGTAATTTTTCTTTTCTCGCCGGACAAATGGCGAGTTCCACCGCAATTTCGACTTCGATTTCGAAGGTATCTCAACAACAGCGGATAAAGCACAATGAGTCCGATCGAAGTTCAATAACGCACGCACACCCACGCGCACGCATGTACGCACGCACGCGCCGTTTCCCATCAATTCGCCAATTTCGTCTCATTTCGTTTCGAAAATGCAAATACCGAGTAATGCGTTCCCAGATCGACAATAATGGCGTGTTTGACCCAGTTTTGCTTGTCCCGTACCAGCTTGACCCAGTTTCTTCCCGGTCGTCTCGGTATGATAATACTGAATCCCGAGTGCGAATTGGTGGATTAAAAATATTCTCACTTTGCTATAATTCATTCTCTCCGCTGGGTAGCGTAGAATACGTAATCGCCGATTCGCATATCGCAACTTTTTGC